CAAAATCACTGAGAGTAAGTACATACTAAACTAGAGTTAATCCAAATATACTTGAATTAGGTAACTTTAAGTATTATAGCAATTCTTTATCTTATATAATTTAAAACACTTCTGGGATATTGGGAAGAAAAATCTAAACATGTTCAATTCACTCTACAAAGGGCATAAGAACTTCCAAGATGTACTAAATTATATTATTAACATCTTCCACCACTGAACTCTTGGGAGTTCTGCAATTTTAAAGTAACAGAAAAAGTGGGAAAACAAACAAACTTGAGTTTGGGGGGGGGTGGTATGTTGTCTGATTTCATAAATATAGTATTCTGAGGGTCTCATAAGGCTCACAATGTTAAAATGGTTGTTAGGATTGCAAATGTAGAAGAAATAGAAAAGATGCCTAATATTGCAATTTAGTGTTTTTATCTGGCTTATGGTTGTCTTCTAAGAAATGTATGTGGACCAAAGGCTATAAAAACAAGGTATAATATAGATCTTTGTAGACTGCAAAAAAGTCAAATGATTTTGATCTAAGGACCATTTTGAAAAGTAAAGGTAAGTTATCTTATAATATGAGCCCAGGAGAATAAAGAGTACATATGATATATATTCCTGATAGTTTATAAATTACTAGAGGCCTGGTGCATGAATTCGTGTACAGGTGGGGTCTGTCCGGCCCGCCCAATCAGGGCTGATTGGGCCAGGCGGGGGAGGAGATGCAGGAGATTGGCTGACCAGCCCTGTTCCTGATCCATCAGGGTGGAGATGGGGGTATTGGGGGTGGGGCCAGAAGGGGGAGGGGCTGCAGGCAGTTGCTGGCCAGTCGGCCGGCCCCACCCCCTGGTCAAACTCTTGGTTGAGGGAAAATTTGCATATTAGCCTTTTATTACATAGGATAACTGAAAAAGTTCTTAAAATAATAAGTCTGTGGGACCAACTTGCCTTGACCAGAAAAGTTGCCATTCCACAATTGTTCTACGTAAATTTGTCCAGAAAAGCAAAAATCCTACATCTAAAAACATATCTGTATAATGCATCATCATTATAATATCTAGCTACAGGCCAACAACTTCCCCATAACCAACAAGGGACCCATTTTCTCTGGCAATTGAAATTTCCTTAGCAAAGATCAACTTCATTGTCCTTAGTAAAAAACTCTCATTTAAGACTCCACCTTAGTATCTTTTCCTACCTCTAATAAAAATCCTCACACTTTACCTCCAAACCATTCCGATATACCTATTACACTCACAAAAGCACATCAAACAACTCTCTCCTTTCTGCTCTCAGATTTCCAAAGCAGTAAGTCTCAGCCCCAGTAACTCACCTAAAATACACATACTTCTTACTCTCTTCAATTCACAAATTTCTTAATTCACAAATTCTTGACAATTTTGATGTCCTTCAAACTACCACCTAAGACTATGGGGAAAACAGCAGTCAGAAAAACTGCCTGATTACCTCATAATACAAAAATTTTCCTGGGGTCAATTAGCTATGTTCTAAGACAGGAGTCAGCAATTTATTTACTTCCTTCTCAATTGGGGTAAGCTTGAATGCCACGGCAAGCCTTGGCAAAAAGAATAAAGAAGGAGAGACAAACAAGGAAAAAGGAAGATGGGTGAAAGAAAATGCCAGATGTGTAAGGCAGGGAGGTAGGTGAAATGCCACCAACAAACTACCTGAACTGGAAACCGTCAAATCCACTCCAGCTGAATTCGAGTTTGACCCACTCCCAACACGTGTCTAATAATTCATTAGCTGATTGCCATCATTGTTTGACTAAGTCAAGGTGAATACATAAGTCACCTATCTCATTACGTTGACTGCCAGTTTACAATAAGGACATCTTTTCTTAAGTCCTCTTAGGATCCTTCTACATTAATCCAGGTTAGACCAAAACACATGCTAACAAGAATATTTCCATGTTTCTTAAGATTTTAGAACATAAAGGTTTGGTCCTTGAACTTGGAGGCCTTTTGAATTATTAAAGTGCATCCTAAATCAAGAAAATTAAATTCTTTACCTTAAAATTTTCCCATGAAATGCTACAAAAATTTAATAAGCAAATTACTAATAATCATTTTAACAAAGTATGCATTCATAAAAACACTAAAATCTTGCGATTCCAAAATTGAGTAAAATATTTCTGGTCTGTAAGAGTAATTTTATTTTACATAGAGTATTACCACCATGTTTCCACCTTTCAAACAAGACAATTTTCCACAAAAGCAAAGCACATCAGGAAAAAGAAAATGAATACCAAACGTAACATGGAGACAAAATAAATGAGTAGCTATGAAATTCTCTTTAAGAATAACACATAACTTTTGCCACACTCAAACTTTCCTAAAGGCATAAATTGCCCAGACCATTCAATATCAAAACTTGGTCGTCAGTTGAGCAGCTGAAAGATGACAAACTGTTGGCTTGAAACCAATCATCCTTCACTTTTCATCTGGCTGTTCTTGCATCTAGAAATTCTACCTGACTCATGCCACTGCTAGTTTAGATGATCTTCACTTAGCCCATGGTAATTAATGTTCCAAAAGAGCCTGTCAAATGGCCTAGGCCTTGAATTTAGGTTAAGTTTTAGGATTAATAACTTCAAATATTAAAATCAGCTGTTTTAAAAAACACATTGTAAATTCCCTATAGTAACTAATGCTGCTGGATGAAAACAGTAATTTTAATAGCAGTGGTCACTTTAGTTTTATAGTGTACTTCATTATGAATGGCCTATATTCAGTTAAGTTGTAACGGAAAATACCCCCAGAAATATTACAATGTCTGATTTAAAAATGGATAAACTTTAACAGACAACTTTGTACAAACAATTTTAGTTAATTTATTCACTTAAGCAATTCCAATAAATTCTCCTTCCTATTCATTCCACTCTCATGGGGAAGTATATATATCTCCAAATTATTAAGATATTAAAATTTAGGGAAAATCAACTATAAATGTTATACTCAGGATTATCACCAATTGTTCCAAACCTAAGTTGCTAAAGATCCCCTGGATTTAGCATCCTTTTTACTTAGAAAGCAGGATCACATTATGATATTGAAAAGACTCTGAAAAGGGGAAAAAGTCATTAGATTTGATATCTCGTGTTTTATGGGGGGCAATCTTAAAAATATGTTCACATGTATAATAAAATGAATTGTGGAACTATGAAAGCCACCAGAGCAACAATTTCAGAAATCCCCATTCTAAAATCATCTGGAATGTGTGTAAGTAATATTAAAAAATGAGTGGGAATATGAAGAAGAGAGGGTGAACATTCGAAGGAGATAAAAATAATCATGCCCATGATCCAGTCACCAATGGTTGGTAGATATCTCAAAATGTCATGAAAGAAGAATGTTTAGAAAGTTTCAACAGTGCTAAATGAAAAATGTTAAAGCACAGAAACAGTAAATGAGATAACCCCCACAAACATCAATTTCCATTAAAAAATAAAAAACAGGAACAAAAACTTGACATAGGCATCTTTTTAATATACCAAATTTTAACTGACTTAAAAGATTATGTAAAATGCTTGGGCCAGTAGTACCCACCCAGATTCTCATTATCATTGACCTTATCTTTTCCCCTCCCTTCCACCCAAATTTAGTTGTTTTCCTGCAGGGAAGTACAGCATTCCTATATTAAGAAGAAATGAAAACAGTGAGTACAACTGATATAGATCCATTGACTTTTATTACAAATGTACTTGATCACTTGGCTTCAAAAAGTTTAAAATCAATACCCTATTTTCTGTATGCCAGTACAAAGCAAACTGTTTTACAAATTAAATACCTAAAATTTTGACAAAAATATTAAAATTTGATGAAAAATAATTATAAAAATCCTCAATATCTCTCTCTCTTCAAAAAAGGAGGCAGTCTTCCCAGTCCTATTATACAATATTAATAATATTCACCATTTTTAGAATAGGTAGCTAAATTATATTTTTCTGTTAGCATACAAAACTCTTAGACTAATAGATTTTATTTGTATATTCTCCAGTTAAGTTTGTAAATGCCATCTGATTGCAATATAATCAACTATCTTTAATTGAGTCCTAATTTACACTTGTTTAATAATTTGCATAGTTTCAAAGGGATAAAGGTAATTCTACAACTAATTATCATAGGCTATTACAGTGCTATTTTCAAGGCAATACGTATTTGCTCCCAAATAAAATTATCTGTCTTCTTTAGGCAGGGGTTAAAATTACTAGCAGCTTTCTCAATTACCTGAAAAATAATTTGGAATAGTTATCCATCTCCAGATGTGAAGACCTAAAAAACACACTGATATATATTTTCTACTTTGAGTCAAATTTCAACCCCTGCATGGGACAACTAGAAAGTGAGACTTTCAAGGTTTTTTATTTTCCCTATTGGTTTTGGTTTCTACTCTCCATGGCTTTTGAGAAGCTGGAAAAGTCTGTCTTTCCTAACTTGCATTGTTGTTTTTTCCATTTGGCAAATATTCATCTATCTCCAATCTGTATCTAGTAGAGGAAAAGCCAACATGGCTTTTCTTATAAACTTCCTTTGTTGTCAAAGGCATGTATAATGATTTCTACAGTTCTGGTTAGTTAACTTTAGCTCCCTCTGTGGCTGGATGACTGCTGCTTCTAACATCAGCATGACAAATAGGAGGCACAAATAAAAAGTAGCTTTAAAAAAGATTTGGTGATTTAAAAGAAAAAACAAACAACAACACCAAACACACACACACATATATGGGCATTTCAAATCTGGTGGCTGATCTCTAGATTAAATTACTTGACAGTGTCTCTCATTTTAAAGAACATCAATATTGCAATGCATTTCAAGTTTTCTTGTATACTTAGGCAAATAATAGTTTAACCAAACTCTTGGACCTTAATTATAAGACAAAGCAGATCATAAAAAATAAGGCATACTTGTCAGGAATTAAGTTTTGTTTGCTTATTTTTGGCACATTTGATCATACTGTCTTCTATGAATAACACATATGGTCAAATATACCAACCATTTCCTTTTTTATTTCAGCACAAACAGGGTTTACCAACTAGTAAAATAAAAACAAGGAAAAACTCCAACATAAAACACTGAGATATAGACCTTGGTAAAGTACCGAGCACCTGGGGAGCAGGGGGGCGAAAGGGGAGGGGGGAGAGGGATGAAACAGGAGAGAGAAGGGAAGGTTTGGGAGGGTGCTTGGGGAGGTAAAGTGAGATGCAAAATAAGAGCATCTTTACAGTCACTTAGTCTTTTCTATGATCATCTCTTAAGTCTTACAAGATCTGCATGTGGATTTCTTTTAAAACCCACTGACTATAAATCAGACAATGGTTTCAAAATCTTGGTAAGAGTGTGTTTAACTGTTATAGTGTAAAGACAACTGCACAACTGTGCTTCTTGATCCAATAGGATTCCAAGCAGAATCGGAAGTCTATAGGTAAGAAAGGCTTCATTTTAGGTAACTTAGACCCTAAAGAAAACCTCATGAGAGAACTCGAATCTCAAAGAAAGGACACTTAGCCTAAGTTTGCTGTGTTTTTGTTGACCTGCACTACTTATTGCTGGCTACTATAAAACACTGATCTAGGAGTACTCCAACAACCTGTAGTACAAGGATTAACTTTAAGAAGCTATAGTAAACAAGAGACAAAATCAAAGCAATTCTCTTTCCTAACTAGTAACAGCACAGATAATGCAGTCTTTTCCATATCACAGTTAAAGTACAGTGAACAAAACAGCTCAACAAACCTTAAGACAAAAAAGTGCAGGTTATTAATGTTTACATGCAGTTGAATAAGCATTCCAAATGTCACATTATGCACTGTAAAAGCTCAACTTTACTATGTGGAAATAAGAAAATGCACCTTGGGGAAAGGGGAGAAGCAATTTAACTATTTCCAGTGATTTTGTAAGTAAAGAAATTCCTAACTATTGTACGGTCACTTCATATTTAACATTGTATGAATAGTAAAAGCAAACTATGGGAACTATAATGGGAAAATGCACAGTACAATGGAAATAGCTTGTTATTCAACACATACAGTAGATCTCAAAAACAAAGACAACACACTCAACCAGGGAGCTTAAAAATATTAAATCAAAACCAAAGAACCAGCAGAAAAAAAAATCCTTCAAAAAGACAACTATTTCACCCTCCTAGGCCAATGCTTTACAATATGAGAAGCACTGACACCTTCCAGCTCCTACAGGTGATGTCTCCTACATACAGCAGTTAGATCTATATGTCTGAATTTGCCAAGAAACAATTCTATCCGCACAACTCTCTCTGTCAGACAAGGTCCTTTTTAAAAAAACAAACACAAAATGCTTTCTACAGAATTCCAAACCAAAATGTACTGTTTAAGGCATCTTTTTTTATAACATTTTCTCTTCACTCAAAGATGATAGTCATGCAGCAGTTTAATGATAAAAATATATTAATATTTTACTATACAGCAGCAAGGAGTTAGTTGTCAATTAAAAGCACACAAACATTTTTAAATGAAAACCTGTAAAAGACTATCGTTACTAACAATTTCAGTTTGGAGGACACCAGCTTGGTAAAGTGCTCTCCTAAGCTTTTCATTTTCATACGCTACAACTTGAATATATGAATGATAGAACATACTTTTGATAGGCTTGTACACTTGGGGAACACAAATACACTTAGCATATAATGTAGCCAGTAATAACTAGCACCACAGCTACATGGAAATCCTTTACGTACACCAACTTAACTTAGCTTTCTCTTTTAAAAGGAAACTCAGAATCCATGGCTCAGTAGGATAACTATAATTGTGTTGCTCTGCTTTTTAACAGGTCTACATAAGTTAATAGCACTGGCAAAAACCAAAGGATAGCTTCAGACCTCTTACAAGTTTAGGAGACAGTGCTAGTGACCACAAATAGACTCACTACCTGATGTCCAAGTACAGGTTCACTGGAAATTGCTGCACGTTAGTTTTTAAAATCTTTCTACACATAATGAAAAAAATATATTATGAACAATACAAGTACATCTCATATACACAGTGACAAAATGACTACTCAAAGCAAACAGATGCAGAAAAATATTATGGGAGATTTCCTTTTTCTCTCTTTCTCTATTTCCTTTTGCTATTTGAATAACTTTGGTTCCAACCATAAAAATCACAACTTAGCAAATTTCATTTAAATGCCTTTTTTAATAATTTCTTCATGTTCACAGAAGTTTCACTGACCATTTTTATGTTTAAGGTCCAGATGCAATGCATATTGTATAAAAGAGAGCACTTATTGTTTATCTTGCATGAATTAAACCTACGTACCTTTAACTCTACAAACTTCTGCATAACATTTAGACAAAGCTCAGACACACAGCATGCCTAGCCCTCATATATATACACATCTCTAATCACAGGTATATAGGGTGTCAAATATACTATAATAACCTCCATGTAAGGTTTGAAATTTGGTAACAAAATGAGAAAAACTAAAAATATTATTTTACGTGTTCTAAAATATCTCTTTTTTGTGCTAAAGTCAAATGTTAGCTCAACATGAAAAGGACTTTTATATAATTCAGCAATATTATAATCTTGACCATTTTGCAAACACTTTTAATAATAATAGCTTAAACGTGTACAAAAGTTCTTGGTTAATTAGGGAAATAAACACTCAGTTCTTTATATTTTTTAATCAAGTAGGAAACACAGTTCATATAATGTTATTACTTTTTGTATTTTTTTTTGTTTTAGCAGCTGCTTACTGTTTTATATGGTGGATAAAGTGGACAACATCCAGCGATGGGTGGCAAGTCAAGAAGAGAAACTGTCAGTTGGTGGAGGTTCTGTGGGTGGTGCTCCCTTGGAGTTAAGTTTTTTTTTTTTTACTTTTTATTTTCTCTCTTTCTTTACAGTATATTTTCTGTGTGTGTAGTTGTGTGTGAGTATGTATGTGTGTGTATGCATGTGTGTGGGGTTTTTTTCCATTCAGTTTGATCAATCTTCTTCCCCTTCTTCCTCACCCTGCAGTAGCAGGGTGGCAGCGGTGGTTTCCTCCTGCTGCTGCTGTTGCTGCTGGTGGAGTTGCTCACAGGCAGCTCGCTTCTCCCTCTGCTTCTCTTGAATCTTCTTCATCTCCTCCGAGTATTTGCAGAAGGTGTGTCCGAACTTGGCCCACACCTTGTAGGGCACGGTGATGGAGTTGCGGTAGGTGGGTTTCACCTCGCTCACTCGCATAAACACACCGTACTTGTTGGAGCCCACATCGAAGAAGAAGCGCTTGTTGTCCACAGTCAAGGAGGTGCCCTCGGGCAGCTCTGCCGGCTCCTCCTCCACTCCGTAGTCGTCGATGAGCTTGGCCAGAGCGTCGCGGAACTCGATGAGCCCTTGTGCGGGCAGCGCAATGGTCTGGCCCTGCGTGGAACCCAGGCCGGGCCCCCGATTGACCGTCTGGCGGATGCGCAGGAAGCGGCCGCGCTGGTTCTCCTTGAGATCCATGTAGTACTTGCGGTTCTCGCGCACCAAGAACTCACTCTTGAGCGCCCGGCGCGGCTCGTCCTGCGCCTGGGCCAGGTCGGGCGGCTGGCTGGGGCCCAGCTGCGCGTAGTGCTCGATGAAGTCGCCCAGGTAGTCACGGAACTCCACGGCCACTGACATGGAGAGAGTGAGGCGACTCTTGTTGCCGCCCGCGCCCACCTCAGCG